CTTCATTCAAATGACTACTGTATTTTTTATGATAAAATGACCTGTTGGTTTCAATTTTATGATTAAGCATCACAAAACATACTTCAGTTTCTAAAAATATGTTTTTACTGAGAGATGAAAATTTATTTCTGTTTATTTAGCTCTCAAATGAGAACTATGGAATTTTACATTATCATCAAATCCAAATTATAAACATACACCTTTTTAAGATTTTATTAATTTGTCAGAGAGAGAGACCGCACGCACAAACGGCGAAGGGGCAGGCAGAACAGGCAGAGGGAGAAGCAGGCTCCCCGCTGAGCAGGGAGCCCAATGCAGGACTCGATCCCAGAACCCTGGGATCAGGACCTGAGCCGAAGGCAGACGCTTAACCGACTGAGCCACCCAGGCGTCCCTAAACATGCACCTTTAAATGACAGGGATAGCTTAACCACTAATTACAAATCAAGCGTAATCCCATATATGTACTTTGATTTCAGACTGACTCATTTTGTGAAAGTACTTTCCACCCCAAATAACAGAATCTGTTAAAGAAGTTTCTGTTAGTTATACTTTTTGAACAGAACAAAACTATTTTAAAAACAGAGGGAGAGACTTAAAAGAAACTGGTAAAAAACATGCAGGCCTCTTTCCTAGGGTGCATGGCGACCACAAGAAGCCCTTTAAGCCAGCATATAGAACATATAAAAACCCCAGAGAAAGGAATAGACAAGTTAAGGATTTTAAATCCAGCCAAACTGATGTACTAAAAAGGCTGCAACCAGCTGTGACGAGCCAGCAAGCACTCGAAGGTCAGTTCCCACAAAGTCTTGATTAAGAATGTCCTAGATGGTGCAGCCGCTCTGGAAACCAGCATGGAGGCTACTCAAAAAATTAAAATAGAACTACAATACAATCAGCAATCCCACTTCTGGGTATTTATCCGTAAGAAATGAAATCACTATCTCAAAAAGCTATCTACACCCTGCCACGTCCACGGCAGCACTAGTCACCATAGCCACAGCATGGGAACAGCCTGCATGCCCACTGACAGAGGAGTGCACGAAGATGACGTGTATATACAAGGGAATGACTCAGCCATAAGAAAGGAAACCCCATCATTCTGTGACAACGTGGATGGCTCCCGAGGGCACTGTACTAAGTGGAATAAGTCAGACAGAAAAAGACAAACTCTGTTTCATCTCCCACGTGTTATCTAAAAAGACCAAGTGCACAGAAACAGAGAACAGATTGGTGGTGGCCAGCAGTGGGTCAAACAGGAAAGGGTGCAAAAAGTATAAACTTCAAGTTATAAGAGAAATCAGTCCTGGACATGTCAGGTATAGCATGCTGATTACCGCTAGTAATAATGGACCGTGTATCTGAAAGGTGCTAACAGAGGAGGTCTCAAAGGTTCTCATAACAAGAAACAAAATGTGTGACTATGTGAGGGAACAGATGCTACCCGAACACACTGAGGTATTGTTTTGCAGTGGGTACAAATACAAAATCATGATGTTGTATACCTTATAAACACAACATCATATGTCAATTATATCTAAGCAAAACTGGGGGAAAAGAATATAAAAAAGAAATCGACCAGAGAATGAACTTTGCACACCAAGAGAGGGCTGGTGCGGACCATGAGATACACACTTACTGCAGAGGGAAACCAACGTTCAGTGGTGAGGAAGAGCATGTCAGGCGGCTGGCCTCATCTCTGGCTGGTCAGAATCAGTACAACTGTTTAAGAACAGGGATAAACAGTCTACACTGTTTCCAGGAAACACATTACTGGTTACAGTGTTGGTGTTATTACTCTCCAAATGCTGGATATATAATGCTGGATACATAACTGAGTAACTACCATTCATGACCTCCTTACTGTGTAAGAAAAGTTTTGGTAGAAGTTATGGAAAACCCAGTAGCCACAAATTCCAACAAAAATGCAAGTATGCATTCATAAGGTGTTTTTCCTCTTACAATTATATTTACTACCTCTGCCCACGAGAGGGCCTGGAAAGACCAAGCAAGCTGCAGTGAGCACACAGAGGGCCAGACATGCTTCTGAGACACAATTTCTATGTGACAGAAACCGGAGCCCCTTGGAGAAATCAAAGGTTCCAGGTCTGGGGCGGACTGCAAGAGAGATGAGCCTGAAAGATCCTGTTGGGTGAGAAAGCAGAAAGCCACTTCAGGAGCCCACGTGGAGAGCCTCCAAACCCATGGAAGACAGAAAAATCTGAGCATAAATATTTTGTCAGAAATGGACTGAAGTATATCAAAAGTACTGAAGTGCATGAATTCCAAATGACACTTAAAAAACTAATTAGTTACCATTAGAGGATGTTTTTTTTAAAAAACCGGCAAAAAAGGAAAAGAGCCTGTTATTCTACCTTCAGATACGAACACACCAGAGGATTGCTCAACAGCATGTGATGGCAAGTTTGTGTCCTTACAGAAGTATTCCAGTTTACAACAGAAAGATGGCATTAGATTATCACCATTCTGCAACCCTTAATGAATTGTTGGTGTAAGCCAAGACACATCAAGGCTAGCAACCTGACTACACGAGAAGCCCACATCACGGCCTCCTGGTAGGAGGACATAGCACCTATGAAGGGGTCTCGCCCCACTCAAGCCTCCAGGGCAACTATCCACTTCCACGAAACACAGAGGAACAAATACACAAGATGCAACCAGCCAAAGCCAGACTATGGGAAACCACAGAGCAAATGAACCAGTCTCTTCAATAAATAAACAAAAAGGAAAATCACAATCAAGGATGAATGAGAACCTTGAGACTGGAGGTGACCTCAAAGACATTTTCGAAGAAACAAACACAAGCAGAACTAGAACATCACACAGAGGTTGATGCCAGTGTTCAGGGTTTGCGAGGCTTCCCAACAGGACAGGGAGCCCAAACACGTGCAGGTGTGCCGGAAGCCGTCTAGCTTTCATTCTCACCAGACACGGTAGAGAAGGAGTCCTCGCGACCACACGTGCCTTCTCTACCGTAACTCCTCCACAGCCGTCAGGAACGTCACCCGTGCGTAATGATTAAAAGACAACAAGGTTCAGGCTCGGCTGTAACTGAGCAGAGGGTCTGGACTTAAAGTTCATCAAAGACTTGGAAAGCATTCACCTGTTCAGAATACAGCCCAGACCCCTGACTCCCCATCATGGGGCAGCGCTCCTCCCAACCTGCTCCGGCCAGGGTGCGACAAGGGCACCAGTGCGGCCCGGACGCTCGGGCACAGGCCAGCTGGTTAGGCACACAGGCTATGACAGAAGTACGGATGCCACGGTGTAGTGGTGCTCAGACGGCAGAAGAGACACTGGCCGTCACCCCTGCCAACACTTACCCTCTGATTTTCTCAGTTCCTTTTCATCTTTAGACAACACTGATAGGACGTTAACTTTTTGGTAGGTGAATACACTTCTTCAGCTGCCCCTTAAGATCTACGGACCCTAGCGCATGGAGAAAAGTCAGCCTTGGCAGCCTGAGGCTGTGCTGATGAAGAGAGGACAGGATGCAAGATGCACATGGGTGCGCACTCCTGCTGACAAACGTCTGTGCACACGCAGCAGGTCGCCTGCACCCGCCATGGCCACGAGCTAACGGCGACCCTCACGGCCAGACGGTGCACCCCAGGCGGGGAAAACCTCCACAGCTCTAGGACGATGCTGGGGGAGGGAGAGACACTGCTAGAGTTCAGTCAATGACCCCAAGTCTAAACGTTAAATCCAAAGAGCGGCATCTGATTTCCACATTCTTCCATAAATAATTTAAATATACATAAACCATGGTTTGTTTGTTTTTTTTAAAGAAAATCCCAGCCATAGGAAAATACTTACGGCTTTTATTCTTGAGGTTTCAAAGAAATGTTTTTAGGCCAATACCACCTCACTATAACTTGTACTTTATAACATACCCTCAAGTTATTTGCTTTTTATAAGGACATACTAATAGGACTTATTGTATACTCTTTATTTTATTCTTATTTCCCCTAAGTGTTACCTATTTTTTTCTTCTCTTGGCCTGCAGGAGCACGGCAACTTTAAGTGCTCAAAGGGTAAATACAGACTTACAGCAACACACAGCAACACCCTCTCCCTTTCTCCGGTCCATCCTCTCATGAGGAACCTTTATAATCTTTAAGAGAATGTAGGTAAGAGACAAAAATATGTGGTGCTCAATTCTACTACTTATTAGTAAGGACAAAAATAAACATTTCATTAAAGGGGCTCATAAATCACCCATTTCCCATTTTTACATACAGCATCTAAGGAATCATCTGTACAAAGAATAAAGAAAGAAATTCTACCTAAATTACCAAAAAATATCACTCAAACATTTAAAAAGAGATGAATTTAGCTTTATTCCCTTAAAAATACTCAGAGAAACAAATAAAATCAAGTTCTATTTGAAGACTCCCTTATAATGTGAGTATTGATAAAATAGTCTGATTGTTTCCTATCCTGATCTTGGTCTACCAAAATAAATAGCATTGGAAACTAGGGGAAAAAAAAAAAAACCAACTTTTTTTAAATTGATGATTTAATATAACTTCCAAAATACAAGACAAAATGGTCAGGATGTCCTGGTTAGTGGGCTAGGGACCGAGAAGAGGGTGTTTTCTGCACAGAACACTTGTCCTCCAGTCACAGTGAACAATGAACAACAACACTGTGCTTTAGACAGGCACACAACAGCAAGCCTTTTTAATAAAAAGACTTAAAGATTTGATCCCAAGAGTTAAAAAATGTTTGATCATTAAAAAGCTATTATAAACAGTACACAGTGATGTTTTACTTCTCTGGTATTTGTTTATTAAACATCTTAACACAATGCCTGTCTATGTCTCTCTCGTTTTTCTGACAAGTGTATACAAGGCAAAAAGTGACTGCTACTTTGTAATGTGTCAATGAGCATAATAAATAAGTTATTTTTGGACCTTTTTTCCCCAAAAAATCTTTTAGGAAACTTTACAAGGATATTTTTGCTTAAATGTACTTACTTTGTAATACGGTCAATATTGGCAATTTGCTTCTGGTTCCGTATAATCTCAATGGCTGCCCAAAGATGCTGGATAGCTTTTGTATCCGCCTGTCGCCTTTTTGTTAGACGTGCCATGACCTGTTCACTTCTGTAACTGTAGGAAAACACAAAAACATAAGGGGAAAGAAAGCATGGATTACAAGATGAACTACCATCAGTGTAGTAACAGACTCAGCACCTCCCAACTACTGGGGAATACACTAACACAGGATGTAGCATGACCAACTTTTCTCCATTACGGGTTACTCTGCAAAAACCGTCATTCACTTTGTTATTTCATAAAGAATAACATTTTAAGGTCAAAGAGTTAAAAAGGTCTTCCCAAGAAGGACAAGTGGTCACCCTATACTAACATATCAAAGAACACGTACATTTCAATTTTATTCCAAAGCAAAAATAGAACATAAAATTTCACTTTTTGTTACTACACTGTGTGTAACTGTAATATGACAGAGCAATATAAATGGAATTCAAATGTCCTAATTCTTTGGTTCTTAGTTTATGATACTCATCGTTTTAAAATTTCAATTTTATGTAGACATACTGACAAATGAAAACAGCGTTTTTTTTTTCTTTTCAAATAAAACCATAAACAGAATCTATTTCTAACCGAGGCATGAAAGGCTGGGAGCTGGTGTCCCAGAGGAGGACGTGGGTGGGCCCACATCATCAGAAATAGTCACATGCTTGGGTTGGGAGGCTGTTCATTATATTATTCAGAACCAATACCACTATTTCGTTCAAATTTCAATATTCTGAGCCTGGTGAGGAGAACAGCCACCGGCTGTGTCAAATCTAGGGGGATATGGGCTGCCTCCTGGATATCGGATGGGTGGTGGTACAGCAGGAGAGGCTCCGCGAACACTGGGACTCGCAGCTGGGCACCGAGGCGCTGGGCCGTCAGGAACGTCCTTGCACACTGAGATGCCAGATCCCTCAATCACACAGGGTAGTGTGGGCAGCCCTCGGGCACAGGGTGAACACCAAACTTCCTTGACCTGACCCTTCCTATCTTTCAGAGGAGGAGAATGAGTGAAGGAAACTCATTCTTGACACGTTCCTGTGTTCCATGATGGGCCGGCGGAGCCTGCAAGTCGGCTTTCTCTGCTTCCACATTTCTTTTCACAGACAAGTCAGTTCTCACTCTTCCTCTGACAAACCCAAATGAAACCGGCAGCCGCCATGAATGCTCATCTAGAGACTCTTCCCACAAGTCTGGGCTCAGCCGGCCTCCTGGAATAAGGCATCTCTCAGAAGTGTGTTGCTAACAGAAGAATTCCAAGCACATTCTAGGGTATTCCTGAATATCCTACTTCTTCCCACCACTACTTCTAATAGCTGTAGACTTTGCTCCAAAGAGAGAATAACCAAAACATAAAGCCAGCATTCAAATTCTAAAGAAAACTTAAGGAAAATCAGTTGGGTTCAGTACAGACTTAGATGCAGAACTAAAAGACAGTCACAACTGCAATTATAATTTATTAATGTGTGTTTGGAAAGAAACCACTTTCAAACGTACAGAAACTTCTCAGCCAGACCATCTGCTGAGGAAAGCCGCCTTCCTGAATGGGATCAGCATCAAGGGAGGGAAGTTTGGGCAAGAATGTCAAGTACGTCACAGAGTGACATCTAACGGCGAACTGCGGTAGTGCAAGTCGTCAGGTTCTGCACGTACTCCCACGAAAAACACAATCTGAAAGACAACAGGTGTCTATTCTGTGTAAGGCACAGATATGGATACAGTGAAGTATGTAAAAATGTAAGAACTGTAGTCCTTGCCAGAGAAGAGCCTGACGCTGGCAGAGGAAGTCTGACATACACATGAACCACGAACTGTAAGGGCAGATAGGACAATGCCGTCCAAAGGTATCCTGGAGCAGTCCACGCACCGGGGACACCACTTCCAGCTCAGGGAGCGCTGCAGAATATAAGTATATGGGGAAATTTAAGAGAAATTTCCTTAATTTCTTTAAAAGATACTTGGCTGTTGAAAGCCAGGATAAAAATCACTGCTCGGTTTCATTAGGGCTATGACGCCTGTAACAACAGAAGCACAAGGGTCTCAGGGCAGTGATCACATCATGTAAACATGCAATTCAACCTGTGTTTTTTCTAAGTACATATGTGTACAAGTAATAATTTATTCAGAACTGCAGAAAATATATAAAACCAAAGCTAGCATTTTAAAATAATACCTAAATAGTAGATATTACTATTTATATAACAACCAAAAGAACATAGGGGGGACACTAATAGCAGAAACTCTAGAAGTGATTATCACCAAATGGCTAGAAATGGTTAAAATCAAGGCTAAAGAATTAAATAATGCACAAATGTAAAGTTCAGGAAAACAGATGTAAAGTTAAAACCAAAGATTTTTGAGATCTACCTGAATCTGAACCAAGTCAACACAGATACATATATCATAAGGGAGATGCTCAGGAGCCCAAAGAGAGCCTTGCAAAGAACTCAAACCCAAGTAAGCTGAGTATGATGAAGTCTGAGACCAGTTATAAAAACAACAGAACCAGCCTGACCGATTAGGACAAGATCTCTTTAAAGAACCACCACGGAGATTTTCCCTTCTTAGGAAATCTAAAATCATGCATTCACTAACGTAGGTCAGATATTCTTCTAGGCTCTGGGAATATAGCAATAAGCCAGTCAGACAAAAGTCCTTCCACCATCTAGTAAATATGAATAATGTGGCTAGATATCAAAAGATAGCAATTTGGGTGTTTATCAATAAAAAGAAAATCCTAGAAAATGAGTTCCTCAGATCCTTTGTACAGACAGCTTCTCATTCAAGGTCTTCAATGACGTGGCCAAATCCAACTCCACAGCCCTCTTCCCTGAGTGTATGCTACTACTAAACTTTACTCAAAATTCCTAAGTCTGGGGCACCTGGGTGGCTTAGTCGTTGAGCGTCTGCCTTCGGCTCAGGTTCGTGATCCCAGCGTCCTGGGATCAAGCCCCACTTCGGGCTCTCTGCTCCGCGGGAAGCCTGCTTCTCCCTCTCTCACTCCCCCTGCTTGTGTTCCTGCTCTCGCTCTCTCTCTCTAATAAATAAATAAAATCTTAAAAAAAAAAAATTCCTAAGTCTGCCCAGAAACGCCGTACCTCCATCCCCTTGGGTAAGCTGTGCTCTGCCCTTTCTTTGCTCTTCCTGGGACTTGCTCCTAACCAACCCCTCTCCTAGAACTAAACTCGACTCTCTTGTATATTCTAGTTATAATGTGCTTATAGGTCTCTCCACAGATGTATCACCTTGTGCAAATAATTATAAATTCCTCAAAAGAATCTACCCATTCAACTAAGAAGGGACAGGCCTCATTCTTCATGTCTTTCAGGGTGGCCTCGCAGTTAGGAACATGACAAGCTTCTGATACAAAATTATGAAATTCAACTTTTCCAGCTGTTACATGAACAAAGTCCCAGAGTAAGCCTTCATTTGTGTTATAGCAAAGATTAAGCTATCAAAAGAAGAAGGAAAAGACGACGACGACGACCACCTTAAGACTTGGGAGAGATTTAACTCAGTCCTCAATCTTTTTTTTGGCTCCCTTTAGGAAGAGGAGCTCCTTCAGAAAGTGATTCTCAAGAGGCTTATAGTTAAAAAAAATAAAAACACAAAACCAAAAGCTTCCCACTAATTTTTTCCTCAATTTCTCTTACTGTAGCAAAATACACATAAATCAGCATCACCATTTTTAAGCGTGCGGCTCAGTGGCATTAAATACATCCACACCGCTGTGCACCTGCCAACACTGTCCTGCCCCGAAACTCACCTCATCCTGTGAAACCGAATCTCTGCACCCAGTAATCACTAAGCCCCTATCCCCTGCACCCCCAGCACCCACCGTTCTGCTTCTCCTTTGTGATGAAACTAAGTCCCTCACAGAGGTGGAATCATACAATACTTGTCCTTCTGTGTCTGACATATCTCCCGTAACAACACATCCTCAAGGTTCCCCCCATTTTCTTCCTCTTCAAGGCTGAATAATATTCTATTGCATGATGTACTGCACTTTGTTTTCCATTCATCTGTGGATGAACACCTGGGTTTCTTCCACGTGTTGCTATGAACATGTGTATACAAACATGCCTTCCAGACTCTGCTTTCAGAAGCAGAATTACCCTATGACCCAGCAATTACAGGGTTCACTTTTTAAAGACCTGCCATACTGTTTTCCACAGCAGGTGCCCCATTTTACTTTCCCGCCACTGGTGCACAAGGTTCTAATTTCTCCACGTTTTCATCAACACTTATAATTTTCTGGGTTTTGACAGTAGCCATCCTAATGGGTGTGAGTTGGTCCAAGCAACTCTGGCTAGCCCCCAGATGATACTGATACTCTCTACCCCTACAAATCCAGATTTAATGCAATCCCTTCCACCTATGTATCTTCTTTTATATCCGACAAATGCTACAAACGGGGGAAAAGATAAAAGTAATCAAATCAGGGAATTAAAAAATAAGCAGAATTAAACAATGTAATACTTGGAGACAAATACAACTGTAGGAAAACTGTGTCCTGAAGGAATTGATAAACATGATAGTAAGGAGATTAAAATAGTGGGAGGCAGAGAAAAGAAAGCAAGAGGACCCACCAGGACACAGCATCAAACATGTTCCAATGTCTGCTTCTGGTGGTAGATGGGTTCACGTTTTTGTTTTATTATTACACTAACAAATATATTTTATAAATATTTTAAAGTAATTTAATCAAATATTACATGTAATTTAAAATTTAATCTCGGGATGCCTGGGTGACTCAGTCGGTTAAGCATCTGCCTTCGGCTCAGGTCATGATCCCGGGGTCCTGGGATCAAGTCCCACTTTGGGCTCCTTGCTCAGCAGGGAGTCTGCTTCTCCCTCTCCCTCTGCTGGTGCTCTGTCAAATGAATAAAATCTTTAAAAAAATAAATAAAATTTAATCTCATTGTATAATGTCATTATTACTTAGGTTAGGTTGAAATTTTTCCAAAGTCTACTCGTAATTTTATTTTTTTTAAGATTTTTTTACTGATTTATTTGACAGAGAGAGTGAGAGCATGAGCAGAGGGGAGAGGGAGAAGCAGACTCTCCACTGA